ATAGATCATCAATACGAGGCAGAGGATAACGGTTCTTCAATGTAACCTTGTTTAGCTGACGATAATCAATACACATACGCATAGAACCCTCCTTTTCTTCACAAACAAGACAAGAGCACCTCAATGCGATACACTAGGCCGAGTAAAACCCTTATCAAGCAATTCATGTAACTGATCCTTCAAATCAGGAGGAGCCATACGATACGGAGGAATAGAAATGGGCTGAGTGCCTGGCAACAAATTAATGCCAAAATCAATATCTCTATCAGGCGGCATGCCCAGAAGATCAGCTAGAAACACATCGGGAAAATCACGTACTACTGGAACTGAATCAACTGAAGGGGTATCAATACTGACATCTCTCATATAAGCCAAATACGGTCATACCCCTTCTCAACCATATACTGAGCTTTAAAAAAGAAATAACTTTACTGGGAATGTGATCTAAAGTACCCCTCCACTCAACACACGGTACACCTGGCATGGTCAGCGTCACGGTTTTGGCGTGACAATCAAGTATAGCATAATGGGGCGACAACCAATCCATATCTAAGATAATGTCAAAATCTACTATGCTGAGCAACAATAAATCGGCTCTGGTCTCAGAACCACTAAGAGCAACCAAACATGACCGATAAACACGGTCCACAACAAAAGAATCTCCCACAAGAGTAGAAACATAAACAGGGGAACTCAAAGAATCCCGAGGTACACCCAAATGCGGAGAAAAATAAAAAGACACATAAGAGTAAGTGGAGCCCAAATTGAAAAGAATCGATGCATCTCGGTGATAAACTAGTATAATACCTGTGATGACAGAATCGGAGGCAAAAACCTCGGTACCATTAGGAAGGGCATAGTATCTGGCCTGGCCTCCCCCTCTAGGGCGAACTCTACCTCCCCAACCTCCACCTCTAGCTGGCTGAGCATGTGGGGTAGCAACTGGAGCTGTAACCATGGCCTGAGAACTCTGCGGGGCACGTTGTGGCTGAGAAGTCTGTGGAGGTGTACCCCTCCCAAGTCTAGGGTAATCCCTCACCATATGGCGTGTATAACCACACTCAAAACAAGCTTTGGGAGGACGTGGTGGTTTTGACTGGCTCAGGCCAAGTCTGCTGGACTGACCTTTGAAAGCACCCCACGCAGGAGGCGCACTAGATACCGGAGGTGCATAATAAGGCTCCTGAGGTCTAGGAGGAGCTGTAATACCACTAGCTGCTGGAAGAGCTGAATGAACAAGGCGAATCATATAACCCCTACCATGACGACCTGCTGCTACGGCACGGACACTAGAGAAATGGCCCAACTCTCGTGACCTCTCGGCCTCCCTCTCCTCTCTCTCCCTATCATGCATACCCTCGATCCTCCTAGCAATGCTCACCACCTACTGGTAAGAAATATCCATCTCCAACTCACGAGCCATACTAGACCAGATGCTGGGAATAAGGCCATCAATAAACCGGCAAACCCTCTCGCAAACAGTAGAAACCAAGGCTAGTGCATGCCTAGCCAAACTGGTGTAACGAACAACATACTCTGAGACAGTCATAGCACCCTTGCGCAAATGCTCAAACTCTGTGCACCATCTTGAGGCTCTCAGGAACATACTCTCTTAGGAACAGATCTGAAAACTGAGTTCAAGTCAGTGAAGCAGCCCCATCCGGACTGTCTAACTCATAGGTGCGTCACCACTCATAGGCGGCTCCTCAAAGCTGAAAAGTAGTGAAGGAAACCCCACTTGATCCTGATATACCCATGGTACGGAGAATAAGGTAGCACTCATATAGAAATCCCAGAGCATCATCCGATGCTAGATCGCTGAAAATAGGAGGCTTGTACTTCTTGAACCTCTCAAGCCTCAGTTGCTTATCCTCGGAAGCAGCTGCCCTGTCCTTGGGCTGATCTCGGACTACAGTCTGTACATAAATAATCTCAGGGACTAACTCGACATGCACTAGCTTCTTAGGAGTACGGGCGGTGGGAGTTTGTGCTCCTCCCCCGGCCTGAGACGTAGTTGCAGCAAGGGGAAGCAACCCTGCCAGAGCCAAAATGGTGTACATGCTCAAGAACTGTGCTAGATTCTCCTGAAGAGCTAGAGTAGTAGTAGCAGTAGGCGTATCAGGTGCCTAGGCTCCGACTAGAACTATTGATGGTACTTCGGCGGCGGCTCACGCAGGTGCTCTGGCTGCACCACATGCGCGTCCTCGGCCTCTACCCTAGCCCTGTCCTCCGACGGTTGCAGTAGGGGGCATGGGTTCCTGATCATCTCGGGTAGCGCGTGTCCTCACCATCTATGAGAGAATAGAAGACAGAAGTTTAGAATTGTGATATCAAAATATCGCACGACAAGGAAATCAAATGAAGTGAAAATTTTCCTAACAGTTACATAGCCTCTCGTAGATAAGTACAGACGTCTCCGTACCGATCAGCAAGCCTCTAATAAACCGGCTTATGATCCATGACTCCTATGAACCTAGAGCTCTAATACCAACTTGTCATGACCCCGGTTCACCCTCCGTGAACCAACGTGATGACACCTAGTCTCTACGACTAGGTAAGCCTAAATTGCAGAAGATAAATCAAATTGCGAAAATTAAACAATTTAAGATAGAGTTAGAGTGATAAAATAGTGTTTAAAAGTGCTGCTCGACATATACAATATTTAACTCTCAAACCAATGCATACTTCCAAGACCCGGAAACCCATGAATCACAAGCTAAGAATATTACATAGTGCTCTAACTCCAGAATAGTCTAAAATAAGTAAATACATAATGGCTATAACTACAAGAGAGAATAGAGAGAGACTCATCAATTTGCGGACACGACAGATATACCTCGAAGTCTCCGAAGGGTCGCCTCTCCTCAAGGATGGTAAGTTTGAGTTAGGGTACCTGGATCTGCACATGAAAAACATGCGCAGAAAGGGCATGAGTACACCACGGCGGTACTCAGTAAGTGCCAAGCCTAACCTCGGTCGGGTAGAAAGGAAGGTCAAGGCCCAACTGAGGTTAAATAAAGTATAAGGTTCAACTGTGTAGAACAGAACAATAGAAATAAGTGCAGCAATAAAAGTATCACAAGATAGAAAGGGCAATAGCAACTATTACAAAGACAAGGTAAACACAGAAAGAAATACAGTTCAACATCAAAATAACAATCGGGGATCTCCTATGATACTGTCTTGTAGTCCCAAATATGCATATCCAATGGATCTCCCGGGATCCTGTCCTGTAGTCCAAATCATGGTGCGGAGGGATCTACCGGAACCATGTTCCATAGTCCCAAATGTAAATACACAGCAGCAACAGGAAATGATTTAGAAATGGCAAATTTCATATTAAATCAAACAAGTATTTCTAGCCTAGCATGCTGCACAGAATTCAAGTAAGGCAGTTTGAGCAAGTAAACCAATTAAGTCACTTAGACATGTTTCTCTAAGCTAACAACAGGCTTAACGGTACAAGTAATACAAACAGGAAAGGAAACATACTAGTAATTACTTAATGAAAACTGGATTTCCAACAATTAGCAAAAGTACGCACTCGTTACCTCACGTACAAGGCATTTCAATTACCAAATATACCGAATCTTAAGGGGAATGTCACGACACTGACCCTGAACCCGGTCATGATGGCGCCTCTCGTGAAGACAAGGCCAGCCAAACCAAAAGAGAACACCTCATTTAAACAAATAAATACCATAAATAGTTCTAAAACATGATATAATAGCCATAATTTGCGGAAATAATGATAAGAAGAGTAGAAACCATCCCGACACAGCCCAAACCGAGGTGTCACAAGTCATGAGCAACTAATAAATCCGGATACCACTCTACTAGATACAAAATCCGATACAAAAGTTCAAGAACATAAAAATAGTAAGATAAGGGAGGCACGGGGGCTGCAGATGCCAACAACTACCTCGTAGTCTCCAAAAAACACTGCCTGGACTGGGAGGATCAGCACTCAGGAGCGGACTCTGCGATGCTTGAATCTGCACACACGGTGCAGGGAGTAATGTGAGTACTCTGACTTAGTGAGTAATAATCATAAATAATGGCTGAAAGCAAAAAAAACACGTAAAGGCACAAAGCAAGGTGAATAGTAATTCCGTCACTATTCTAGGATGAAGGTGAATAAAACGAGGCAGGCTCTCTCCTTCTCTCTAGGAAGAAGGTGAATAGTAATTCCGTCACTATTCACCGGGCCATAACTCCGGCATCAGGTGGTGGATTGTCGCAAACTTTGTGTCAAAAGAAGCATCTTCTCATTACGCACAGACCCCAATTGATTTCATCCTCTAATCTATAACCAATTGGTAAAGATCTTAATTCTTATTTCACGAAACTACTGTAGCACGCAGATTTCTTCATTTACAATTTCCCGCTTCTGCACGACAATGGAGATTTGAAGTATTCATGGCTGCTGCAACCTCTCCCCAGCCTTTGGCTATGGGAAAGGATATACAAAACACTACTGAACATCCAACAAATTACATTCACAAACCATCGTATGCAGCCCAGCTTCAACCAAAACAATCTGCCCCGTCCAAGATCGATTTAGTTCCTGTAGCAGTCGTTCATGGGGAGCCAACGATCGAGTTCACCAGGGACTAGGTCAATGAATTTATTAGAAAAGAAGGACTGCATCAGGCAGTAGTGGTGAAGTTTTCATATGGAAAACCAGAATTACAAGAGATTAGAAAGAATCTCCCAGTGCAATTCAAAATTCAAGGTCGATGTAATATTGGCCTGTTAGAATATCGTCACCTGCTGGTTCGTTTTGATTTATATGATGATTTTGTTAAGTTCTTGTCAAGGACAACTGGTTATATGAAATCAAAAGGAGAGGAATTCTTTTTTAGAACGTTTCCATGGACACTAAGCTACAATCCCAAGGAAGAAACGTCCATGGCACTCGCGTGGATCTCCTTTCCAGGTTTGCCGCCTAACTTCTTTGCTAAGAGGTCGTTAATGTCTATTGCTTCTGCTGTTGGTAGGGCTATTGCTGTGGATAAGGCAACGCAACAAAGAATGCGACCTAGTGCTGCTAGGGTCAAGGTTATTCTTGATCTATTAGATAAACATCCTAAAAAGGTCAGGCTGCAGATTTTAGATCGAGTTACAGGTAAATCTGTCGTGTTCTATCAAGAGATAGTGTATGACAACCTTCCTAAGTATTGTACGTTTTGCAAGCATCAAGGACATGATGAAAAGGCATGTATAATTAAGAAAGAAAAAGCTGGAACAGAGGTGGTGGCAGAGGAGAATTATTTACATAGTAATCTGCCTGGTAAGGAGGTGTTTGCTGTTGACAAGCTACAAAGGGATGCAAGGGAATACTTAAACGCTAAAAGAGCTGGGCAAATAACCAAGGATGTACTAGAAAAAGATGGAAAGCAAGGAGTTAAAGCAACAAAAGAAACAGTAGTTAGTCAGCGGGTGTTGCAAATTGAAGGAGGAAAACACATTGTTAATGAAAACAATAAGAATGTAATGCAAACTGTAGTTGATGCCTCAATGATTGATAAAGGTCCTCTTAAGCCTCCACGTGATGTCCCTGCTAAAACAACATTGGCAAGGATTTTCAATGTTGTGAATCCAATTCTGAAAGCATACGACAATTTGTCTTTTTCTAATGCTACAGCTGTTTTGTCAACTAATGAAGGCCCAAACGATGCTGTTCAACCTGGGCTGATGGATGACACTGCTTTAGTTGCAACTGTTTGAGAACTCTATGCCAAGAATAATCCAGCAATAAAAGTTGCGTCAAAAGATGCAAATTTAATGGAAGCTGCTGATCGAGATGCAATACCAGGTCAAACTGGTGCAGCTTCTACTGTTTCGAAGTTGGATGACAATGCTGGAGATAATCTTGGAGCTGCAGAAGTTAAAAATTTGAAGGCTACTGTTGCATTGAAGGGAGCTTGGGATCGAGATACTGCTGGGGTCGCTGAACCAACAACCGATCCAGCAACCAATGCCAAGAATCATGAAATAAATGTGTTTGTAGGACAGAAATCTGGAATTGAAGCAGCTATTACATGTTCAAATGTGGGGGCGACTATTGCATTGAACATAACTGGTTATCTAACTACTGTGGGGGATCCTAAAACTAATGTTGCAGCTGATATTGTTGGAAGATCATCAGGTATCAAGGCTACAGTCGTACATGTTGAGGGGCAGGTGTCGAATAATCCAAGGCAAAATGCTACAGTTCCATGCAACTCAGATACAAAGAGCAAAAAGTGGGTAGTGGTGAATAAATCGACTAACAAGAAGCAAGCTACAGGTGCGCAAAATCATATTGTTCCATCAAATGTTATTGGGGTCTCGAACTCTTTTGATGCTTTGGTGAATGAGGGTGAGCATGTTACGAAGGAGGCTGAAAATACGGGGCAACAGATGGATGATGACACACGATCAATAGTTGGAAAAACCAGCTCTACAGCTATGCTGATGAACACAACTTCAAAAAATGGGCAACCACAAGCTCCAGGCAGTAACTCACAGCAGCAAACTTCCACAAACACAGGTGATCGTATAATTATTTCGAATGACATTATTCTTGTTGATGCGCAAAAGGCCGAAACACTGTTCCAATGCTCTTAAGTTGCTTTTTTCCAATCCAAATGTTGAAAAAATAATCAAAGATGCCCAGAATGAAATGATGATAAAGCATACTTTGCTGAAACAACCGTTGGTAACCTTGAACACTTCCGTATTTGATACTCAATCTGTGGAGTCGTTTGGGGAATTTGAAGGTGAATCTGGGTAGCTTGTGCTGTCAACTGGGAACAATAATGAGGTTATCCAGTCAAAGGTAAAGGAAATGGATATCAATTCTAAGTTGTGGCATCACCAATGAGAATATGATGATGAAGAAGATCGGGGTGATGGATTTGCTGGCTATTCATCTGAAGAAGGCGAGCAGGAGGAGTTTGATCAGGAGAGTGCAGGAGAGGACCTTGATGCTACAATCAAGACATAGTCCCATGGGAAAACTACAGCACCTCCAACGAGCAATTTGAATTGTCATGCACCTGCTTTCATTCCCAGGAATTCTCCAACTGGTGCTAAGCCAAATGCTGCAACTGGAAGTTTACCTCAAGACATAGCAACATCTTCCAAACATGTCACTCCAGGTGCTACTACCAATTCTCCAACAAGAAGTTTAAATCAAGCTGCTATAACAGGCGAGGAGAAGATTAATACAGTTGATCGAGGAAAATCTGGGCAGGAGCTAATGGTGACCACTGAAAGATTGGAGTACAATGCAACAACAAATGTTGAGAAGCCTTCTTCAATGGATATATCAAGCCAACATGCAGAACCATATTCAACTATGACGCAGCAGCAACAACTCACTTCAAACACTTCAGCTATTATGCAACTTGGAGATCGAAAAGCAGCAGCAACAATACAAGTTGAGCAGCAGCAAATTGTCACAACCAATCCAGTCATTTCAGCAGAGGAAAGAAAATTATTGGATGCAATGGTGAGTCCACATCTAGTAAAACCTTTAAATGTTGTTACTTGTAGCACTGGTCACATGAGTAGAGGAAAGAACAAATTGCAAAACACAGAACAAAGCAAGACAATGGTGACAAATACACAAGGTCAATATGCATTGGAGACAATTGTTATCGACCAAAATGTTCCACAACCAATGCACCTGGGGAGAGACTTGTATGAAGACGGAGAGGAAGAAGCAATGTTACAACAGTGTAGAAAAGAGGCAGCAAGAAAAGGAGATCTATCACCAATGCATAGCGGCAAAGGTAAGAAGACCCATACAAGGAAAAATAGTTGGGACGACAAGGTTAGTAATTTTTTAAATGTTAGGCGACCTCTAATGAGAGTTGCCAAACAAAAGATGGCTGCCCCAACTACATATACAAAGTCCAATCGTTCAAAAAGGAAATCTTGAATTTTGAATACATCTTGAAGAATTGGGATTGTGATGAAAAAAAGTTACAAATTGAAGAAATTACAAGCTCGGACAAGAAGGGGCAACATTTTAATTCCTTCATCATTTTATTCTACCATTATATTAGCATTCTCATTTGTAATATCATCACAGAGTATGTTATAAACTCTATGATGATCATTGAATATTTGGTACTTTTTAGTTCTTATTTTTTACATGCATGTTAGTAGGTGAGGCTATTTAAAGCCTCAATAGGAATAGTAAGGTAAGGTTTAGCCGGGTTGGTGTTACCTTGGTCCTATGCCTTTGGAAAATATCCACACGGCTATGAGATTATATGCCCTCGTGAGACTATGTCGGCAACTACCCCATGAATCCTCTACATGAGGCTGCCATCATAAGGCAATGTGAGGCTCAGAGGAGTGATTATATAGCAAAGGCATATTGGTAACAAAACCGGTGCTATTGTCTCCCTTATTTGTACTTATCCGAATTGTTGTATTTTATTTTCTTTTTATTAATAAAAATCTAGCTTTAGGCGCTTGCCTAGCGGATTGCCAAAAAAAAATTCTATATCAAGCAGTAAGATCACTTAAAGTAGTAAATCCATGAAGAAGTCAAATGAAATTCCTTTAAACAAAGTAAAACAGGTAATGTAGCAGGTAAATAACAAGTAGAAATCCACCCCTCGGGCGCAGTAACAATCACTTAGAATAGTATCAGCCCCTCGGGCTCACTCTCAAATCATGATGGGTACCCGCGCTCACTATGGGGGTGCAGACTCCGGAGGGGCCCCTTACGGCCCAAGCGCTATATCAAGCCACCTCGTGGCATCATCTCTCGGCACTCGGCCTCACATCACTCAAGCCACCTCGTGGCATATAAAGTATCTCAGGCCCTCGGCCTCATATCACTCGGCATATCCTCACATATGGCCCTCGGCCTCACTCAGTCCAAAAATCATCACAAGCCCCTCAAGCATATGTAAAATAGTAGTTCTCAACCCAAAATATCATTTAGAAATATCATTTAAGTTTCAAATCTAAGTAAAAGTGGCTGAGTTCGTAAAATAGTAGATACCAACAGGACTGAGTTCAAATAATAAGTCAAAATAGTGAGGAAACAGTGATAAAAATTTCCGAAGGATTCAAATAGTTGGCACGAAGCCCAAATATAGCAATCAGCCAAAATCATGATGATAACAAATAAGTTTCAGTCAAATACACGGTAAAATCATCGATCAGGACAGACTAAGTCGCAATCCCCAGTAGTAAAATACCCCACGCTAATTATCCAGTCGTGTCTCACCTCAATATAGCACTACGATGTGCAATCCGGGGTTTCAAACCCTCAGGACATCATTTACAATCATTACTCACCTCGAACCGGCTACAACTCTAGCTCGCGATGCCTTTGCCCCTCGAATCGGCCTCCACACGCATCAAATCTATCCAAAATCAGAACGAATACATCACAATATGCTAAGGGATCAAAACCCAAGCGAAAACAATCGAAAAATATCGAAAATCCCGAAATTAGCAAAACCCGAGCCCCGGGCCCACTTTTTGAAACTCAGAAATTTTCACATTATTAGATTCCATAACACCCCACGAGTTCATACATACCAAAAGTTCTCAATTCCGACCTCAAATGGTTCTTCAAATCCCAATTCAAAAGTTCAAAATCCCAAGCCCTAGTTCTTCCATTTTTAGCTTAAGTTCCAAGAATTTCTAGGTTAATTTCACAATAGATTCGAGTTTTAGGTTCGAAAATCTTGCCTCCAATCAATTCTCCTTGAATCCCTCTTTAATCACCTTCAAAAAGCTCTCAAAATACTCATTAATGGAGGAAAAATGGCTTAAAATCGCAGATAAAATGACTTATAAACTTTCTGCCCGGGGATTTTCGCATCTGTGATCCCACCACCGCTCCTGCGGTACCACTTCTGCGATAATTCCTCCGCATCTGCGGAAATCACTTAGGGGGCCAGGTTTCGCATCTGCGGTCCACGAGCTGCACCTGCGACTCCGTAGGTGCGGTCCATATGCCGCATCTGCGGTCCCTGGCTATTCTTCCCAAACCGCTTCTGCGGCTCTTCTTCCGCATGTGCAGCACCGCACCTGCGGTCCCCAATCCGCAGGTGCGGAAACACCAGAAGCAGCAACTTTTGAGATCTCTTAAGTCCAAAATCTTCCCGTTAACCATCCGAATTCACCCCGAGGCCCCCGGGACCTCAATCAAAAGCACCAACATGACCCAATACCTTATTCAAACTTGTTCCAATCATCAAAGCACCTCAAACAACATCAAATTACCCCAAACACATCGGATTCAAGCCTAGTTTTTGAGAAATCTTCCGAAATACGTTTTCGATCAAAAAACCAACCAAACCACGTCCGAATGACCTGCAATTTTGCATACACATCCCAAATGTCACCACAAAGCTACTGCAACTCTCGGAATTCCATTCCGACCCTCGAATCAAAATCTCACCTACCAACCGGAGATCACCAAAATACTAACTTCTCCAATTCAAGCCTAATTCTACATCGGACCTCCAAAACCAATTCCGATCACACTCCTAAGTCATAAATCACCTCCCGAAGCTAAACGAACCATCGGAACTCACATCCGAGCCTTTTTACTCAGAAGTCAACATTCGGTTGACTTTTCCAACTTAAACCTTCTTAAAAGAGACTAAGTGTCTCATTTCTTACCAAATCCACTCTGAATGCAAACTACTCAACTCGATCACATAAAACATGGATAACAAAGCATAATAAAGTAGAAAGGGGGAAAACGGAGTGATAACTCATGAGATGACTGGCCGGGTCGTCACATCCTCCCCAACTTAAATAAACGTTCGTCCTCGAACGAATCAAGAAACATACCTGAAGCCTCGAGTTGGTGAGGATATCTGCTCTGCCTATCCCGCTCAATCTCCCAGGTAGCCTCCTTTATGAGCCGACCTTTCCATTGCACTTTCACTGAAACTATATCCTTTGACCTCAACTTCCGAACCTAACGACCCAAAATAGCTACTGGCACCACATCATAGGCCAAACCATCATCCAACTGAACCGTGCTGAAGTCCAAAACATGAGACGGGTCCCCAATATACTTCTGGAGCATAGAATCATGAAATACCGGATGCACGCTAGACAAGATGTGTGGCAAGGCAAGATCATAAGCCACCTCTCCAATCCTCCGAAGCACCTCAAAAGGCCCAATGAACCACGAACTCAATTTTCCTTTGTTCTCAAATCTCGTAACACCTTCATGGGCGAAACCTTCAGCAAGACCTTCTCACCAACAATGTAGGACACATCTCGAACCTTCCGGTCCGCATAACTCTTCTGTCGCGACTGCGCTGTACGAAGCCTCTCCTGAATCACCTTCACCTTCTCTAAGGCATCCTGAACCAAATCTGTCCCCAATAGCATAGCCTCACCGGGCTCGAACTAACCAACTGGAGATCTACACCGCCTCCCGTATAAAGCGTCATACGGAGCCTTCTGAATACTCGACTGGTAGCTGTTGTTGAAAGCAACCTCTGCAAGCGGTAGAAACTCATCCCATGATCCTCCGAAATCAATAACACAAGCACGCAACATGTCTTCCAATATCTGAATAGTTTGCTCGGACTGCCCGTCCGTCTGAGGATGAAAAGCTATGCTCAACTCCACCTGAGTACCCACTCTTGCTGAACAGACTTCCAAAACTGGGAAGTAAACTGAGTACCCCGATCTGAAATAATAGAAACTGGAACACCATGCAGCCGAACAATCTCCCGAATGTATAACTCTGCTAACTGCTCTGAAGAATAGGTAGTACACATAGGAATGAAGTGCACGGTCTTGGTCAGCTGATCCACAATCACCCAAATAGCATCAAACTTCTTCAAAGTCCGTGGAAGTCCAACAACAAAGACCATAGTGATCCTCTCCCATTTCCACTCAGGAATAATCATCTGTTGAAGCAAGCCACCTGATCTCTGATGCTCATATTTCACATGCTGACAATTGAGACACCGAACTACAAATCCCACAATATCTTCCTTCATTCTTCTCCACCAATAGTGCTACCTCAAATCCTTATACATCTTCACGGCACTCGGATGAATGGAATACCACGAGCTATGGTCCTCCTCCAGAATCAACTCCTGAAGCCCATCCACATTGGGCACACAAATCCGGCCCTGCATCCTCAACACACCATCATCACCAATGGTCACGCCTCTAGCATCATCATGCTGCACTCTATCCTTAAGGAAAAGAAAATGCGGATCATCATACTGGCACTCTCTGATGCGATCGTATAAGGAAGACAAACCACAGACGCCAACACCCGACTGGGCTCCGAAATATCCAACCTCACAAACTGATTGGCAAAGGCCTGAACATCAACTGCAAGAGGTCTCTCCCCAACTGGAATATATGCCAAACTCCCCAAACTCACTGCCTTTCGGCTCAAAGTATCGGCCACCACATTGGCCTTTCCCGGATGGTACAATGTAGTGATATCACAATCCTTAAGAAACTCCAACCACCTCCGCTGCCTCAAATTAAGATCCTTTTTCTTGAACAAATGCTGAAGACTGCGATGATCGGTGAATACCTCACAAGATACACCATACAAATAATGCCTCCAAATCTTCAATGCATGAACTATGGCAGACAACTCCAAATCATGAACGGGGTAGTTCTTCTCATGGGGCTTCAACTGTCGAGAAGCATAAGCAATAACTCTACCCTCCTGCATCAATACACAACCAATCCCAACTCTCGAAGCATCACAATATATGGTATATGAACCTGAAGCTGATGGCAAAACCAATAATGGAGATGTGGTCAAAGTTGTCTTGAGCTTCTGAAAGCTCTCTTCACACTCGTCTGACCATACAAATGAAACGCCCTTCTGAGTCAACTTGGTCAAGGGCGATGCGATAGATGAGAATCCCTGAACAAACCGACGATAATAGCCTGCCAACCCAAAAAAGCTACGAATCTCGGTGGCTGAGGACGGTCTGGGCCAACTCTGAACCACCTCTATCTTCTTCGGATCAACCTGAATACCCTCGCTAGACACCACGTGCCCCAAGAAAGCCACTGAACTGAGCCAAAACTCACACTTGGAGAACTTTGTATAAAGTTTCTCCTCCCTCAATTTCTGCAACACAACTCTTAAATGCTCAGCATGATCCTCCTGACTACGCGAGTACACCAGAATATCATCAATGAATACTATAACGAACGAATCAAGATAAGGTCGGAACACGCTGTTTATCAAATGCATGAATGTTGTTGGGGCATTGGTTAGACCGAAAGATATCACAAGGAACTCATAATGACCATATCTGGTCTTGAAAGCAGTCTTAAGAATATTTGAATCCCTGATCTTCAACTGGTGATAACCCGAACAAAGATCAATCTTGGAGAACACACTCTCGCTCCCTGAAACTGGTCAAATAAATCATAAATGCGAGGAAAAGGATACTTGTT